ATCACCATCAACCATATATAAATGATGACTACCATCAAGATCCTAGGAAGAGAACACCAGTACTGCAAGGGAATGCATTCAGTAGTAGTATAAAGAAAAACACAAAGAAATGGAATGGATTTTGGTTTGGAAAGCCAGCAGCTACAATATGTGGTTCTAGTGGAGATGTTGTGGAACCAAGGAGATTAGCAGGAAACACTGCAGGCAAAGGCAAGATTAAGCAGTCTGCACCACGATGACCGTATTCAAGTGGTAGCCCCAACTAAGTTGGTTGCTAAAGTTTGTGAGATTTGTTGAAGAAAATCTGGTTGAAACATCATGGGCTCATGGCAATGCTTAAATGATCTTGCCTCCTGTGTAGCATTTTTCTATCCACGTGCATAAATTTTACTCAAATTAGTATACTGATGTCTGCTGTAGACCGGTTTTTAACCAAATTAACTTCCATATACCTCATAGCAGGTGTAAGGGTGTTTTGGTCAATATGGTTAAGAAGGAAAATAGCTTTTTTTTTGTAGTATAAATATTAATATCACAATAGTAATGAGTTAATCATAGGTTATTTATCTCAAAAAAAAAAAATCATAGGTTAACTATGAGCATAAACTGAGTTAAACAAAAGACATCCTTAAACGGCAGCAAAAATAATTTATGTAAAAATTCTGTAAGAACTCTCGGTTAATTCCTCCCTTCGTTTCTTTTGAAAAAAATTTGAATACCAATACAAAGATTGTTTAGAAGTTCCATAATACAGTTAATACTGTAATTGCTTTAAAATGGCAAGAATAATAAACAAAACACACTGGTCATAATCAAAACATATCAATTAACAAGATAGTAATCAGATTTTACTTCAACAGTAATAATCAAAATTGTTTTGACAAAGAGCAAGTTGAATTTTGCCAAGCTCCTATGATTTACAAAAGAATTAAAGAACATCTTTAGTGACTAGAATTCATGACGGGAATACAACAACGAACGCAGAATCTCTAATTTCAAACTAGACCAACAAGATTGTCACCAGTATAATATATCTCTGCACCGTAGACATGTATGATGTGTTCCAAACTTGGATGCAGCTTATTGTTTTCTGTGTACCAGTGTCCTGGATCTCTTGGCATCAATTACCCTCTCAATAAGACTGCAGTCTTAGAGTCGGTCAAAAAAACAAAGGTTTCAAAACTGTTTGAAAGCAAGCTAAATTAACAGAGGGTGATGGCTTTCACAGCACAAAAGATAAAGTATACTATTTAAAAACTACAAAAACCACTACAACAATACAAATTAAAGGAATCAATTGTCAATAACTTAGAAGATAAAACACTGACTCATTAAACAAATGTAATTAAACAAGATAAATATAGAAAATTCAATACAATCAGAGAATGCAATCTCAATATAATGATAAAGCATGATTACCTATAACATCCACATCAAATAAATTTCACTCTTAAAATACTGAAATATTTTAGTAGTGAAACAACCAGAAGTTTAGAATTACGCAAAAACAAATAGGATTAATATCAATGGTAGAAAACAGAGGTCAAAGTGATTGAGTTGAAAAATAAAAACCATTCTTCTATTAGAAATGTATGTCTCATGGCCAGTCCCAAGTAGTAATGGCAGCAACGCTACTCCACAAGGCAATGGAATATGAGACCACCCTACAACGGTGAATTCCCAAAAAGGAGTCCAGCAACATCAAGGGGTTTATTTGTGACGTTTACTAAGGAATGTACAAACATTTAGGGTTTGCTCCAATAAACTAGATGAGAGATATTCAGCCAGAAATCTCCTCCGTCACAAAACTCACCAATGACAAAAATTGAAGGGAAAGAAACAATGAATGAGCAAAGAAAAAATCATTCTTAAAACCTAAAAATATATAAGGAAGAAAAATAAACACAAGAGAACACACAGATATTGAACAAGCCAAAGCAGGCAGGGACAAAAATATGGAGGCAGAGGAGGGTAATAAGAAAATCACTTGCAAAACCCTAAATTTGAATGGGGTTTAGGAAGCGGAGGAGGGTTTATGCTCTGCTATTTATAACATGAAGAAAACATAAAAGATAAACTATCAGAGAATTAGAGTTTAATAAGAAGGTACAAACAGTACAAGAATGCATTACAAAATCCAAGCTATGCATTCATTATCATAAGCAGCTCAATCAAGACTGCCATCACTCATGCCTTACACTTTATAAT